GAGACAGATATATATATATATATATATATATGGTAAAATGATGAAAAAAAATAATAACATAGGCAGTTGATGTTTTTTCAGGATATATAAAAATTTATTTAATAACAAATATTTCGGGAGCGCCTGCTCTCTTCTTCAGCATAATGCCTACCGAATCAATTAACATCAGATTGAACAATTGAGGTCAAATGGCAAACAACAGATAAACAAAACGATCGCCACAATAGTGCACAGAATGTGGTCTCTTTGACATAATAATTTGGACAGGATTATCTCTTAGCTAACTTGTCCTGTTCTTGTCCCGTATAAAACTTTTATGGTTGTTAATTCCAGATCTAATGGAGCATCTGTTTCCCCTACATAATTACCATTATTACATTTATCACAGTAAATAAAGTAAACAACATTATAAGATGTACAATCTAATGGAGGAGTGCATATTTGATATATATGTATGTATGTATGTATATGTGAGGTCTCACTACAAAATGAGTCTCATCGTTAGAAAATCAAAATGAGTTACCGTACCGTATTACATTTTGGTAGATCACATTATAAGGCTTAATTTGGTCTTTGAATGGCTTCCCTAGGATAAATAGATCCAGAGATGTTAGCATTTAAAGTTTAGGTGTATGAGAACCAGGCTTTGAGAAAATCGGCCTTAAAGATAAACTAACCTGTACAAATAATAGGACTAGAATTACAGAATATGTGAAGAGAACACTGTTTTAGTAAGAAAATTCACTTAAAAAAGTACACAATCATAAAATATAAGTATCAAGTTATTCAAAAACATTAAAATTAAAATTTTGTAAAAATGTTGCCTTTGACCTATTTTGGTGAATATCTCAATATGATTTCACCAACGATGCGTCTCATTTCGAGAACCAGGCTTTGAGAAAATCGGCCTTAAAGATGAACTAACCTGTACAAATAATAGGACTAGAATTACAGAATATGTGAAGAGAACACTGTTTTAGTAAGAAAATTCACTTAAAAAAGTACACAATCATAAAATATAAGTATCAAGTTATTCAAAAACATTAAAATTAAAATTTTGTAAAAATGTTGCCTTTGACCTATTTTGGTGAATATCTCAATATGATTTCACCAACAATGCGTCTCATTTCGTGGTGAGACCTCACATATGTTTTACATACTGATAAATAATTTTGATGTCATCACAGTAGAATGCATGTATACAGTGTAATTCAGTGTATTTGTCTAGTTATTTCCTTTTGAATGAAATTTTTTCCCTCAAGAAATGGAATCTGTTTACCATCATCTGAGACTGTATGGTGCTACAAGGGTCAATGAAGTGGAAGGCAGTATACTTTTGAAGAATATTCTTCAAGATTGTGTCAGCTGTAGCAAACTCACCATTACACCAGTACCATCCAATTGTGATGACCTTCGTGAGAAATTTCTTTCCCGTGTGCACTACAAACAGCTGAAGACTGCAGAACAGTATCGCGACCTTTGTGCCTCGTTTGCAGCTGAAGCAAATCGAGAACATGCTGAAGAAAATGGCCGATGGTTTTACCTGGCTGTGCCTGCTTTTGCATATGCTGGTATTGCAGAAAACATAGGAAATTGTAAGTGTAGAAACCCCATTTAAGCTGTGGTGGATCCAGAGGATAAAAATCCCATGACCCATTACCAACATATATTACAAAACATGGACCATCCCCCTTGTTCCCCTCTGTCTTTTTTATTAGAACCCTATTTGCTTTGATAGATAATTTACTGAGAATGCATTTCAGTTTGTAGGCCTACAGTAAGCAATACCTGGCTGCGTGTTGTCCTTGAAAAGCCCTTTGGACATGACCTGGAGTCTGCTGTTGACCTCTCCGACCAACTTTCCAAACATTTGCAAGAAGATGAAATGTACAGAATTGATCACTATCTTGGCAAAACAGGTAAACATACGATGATAACTGGGCTTTAACTATAGTATTTCACACTGGGTTCAAATACAATTTCTTGTTATAATTTCATTTGAATAAGTTTAATAATGAGACATAATTTCAATATATACAAATGCAACACATAAGCATACAATTGTCTCTGATGATTTCAAAAATTATATTAATTGCAACCACAGTAAAAGGAACGAACTTAAACAGTAAAACTATACATAACAATAGGTACTCTACAACTATAATCAGAAAGTAATGTTTTAAAGTTAACTGTATTGCAATATTATTTTTTCCTTGTACAAGGTGTATCCTCCATTATGCCTTTCCGAGAAATTAACCAACAAGCGTATGAACGGATTTGGAATAAACACCATGTGGAAAAAGTGGAAATAGTTATGAAAGAAACCCTTGATGTGAAAGGTAAACCACCACTGTATAGTTAATTGCATGTTGGGAAAAGAGGTTTATCAAAGATTTGATACTGTAGTTATGTGCAATAAGTTTTTGATAACTTCTCATTTTTATTTGTATCTTTGTTGTTTTTATATATTTTTGTCTTAACGATGTCTTTTACCAGCCTGTAAATGGTGATTAATTTTTGGTATTTTTTTTTTAAATGAATGAATAAATGAATCTAATTACAGCATGAACTTCAATTCTAGAAGGTTGATTTTCAACAGTGGATTCTCCAACATAGATTAGAATCCACATGAAATTTAGCTCAATAATTTCCACGGAACATTAAAATAGATTGTTTCATTTGTTTCAGGTCGTTTCAGTTTCTATAATAAATACGGAGTAGTACGAGATGTAATGCAGAACCACTTGACAGAAATATTGGCTCTAGTTGCCATGGAAATACCAGAAAATATCACCTCAGCAGAAGAACATTGTTTGAAAAAATTGAATTTGATGAACAGAATCCAGCCAATCAGTAAACACCATGCTGTGATTGGTCAGTATGAAGGCTATCAAGTGGAGTTGCGAGAGGAAATGGGAATGGCCGATAATTTCACAAGTCTGGTACCCACATTTGCAGGTGTATCAATGTTTATCAATAGTCCCAGGTGGTCAGGTGTTCCCTTTGTGCTAGTGTCTGGGAAGAAAATGGACAGGAAGTCTGGTTATGTTCGAATTGTTTTTAAGCAAGACACTTTCTGTGTCAATGATGATGGATTTGAAAACTTGTGTAGGAAAAAACAAATGATCATTTACACAGGAGGTACAGGAGGAACCAAACCAATGCTTCTGGTGAGTAGAACTCTTCCACAACCAAATATACCAGCAGGTTGGAAGACATCCGATTCATTCAAAGAGATCAAATATTTTGGATCTGATCTTAAAGACTTTTACCATTATTCTCCACCTTTTGAGGCAGATGCGTACACATCTCTTTTACGGTCGTGCTTCTTTGGAGAGAAGCAAAACTTCATAGGATCTGCTGATCTGATGCAGTCATGGAAAATATGGACGCCTCTTCTCAAAGGTCTTGAAGATACAATTCCTAGAGGATATTCAGGTGGCATAAATAATGGTGAAATCTTAGATTTTGTTTCACAAACTTATGGTTGCCAATTTGTGAATGTAGAAGAACCATTTTTTGATGGCAGACATGAACAGAATGTTGCCTTTAAAAAATCAACATTTAGGAATGAGTTTTTAAAGTCTGGGTTAAAGAGCCATGTCATTCATGCACTTGCATTGGATATATACAATTCCTCAGTCTACAGCATCAATGAAAGAGGGTCCTTTCACATAGCACTTTCGGGGGGAAAGAGCCCAGTTCCATTGTTCCATGAGCTCTCCATGGTAGAGAGCTTTCCATGGGAAGAGACGCACATTTGGTTGGTTGATGAAAGATGCGTGTCTTTTGATGACAATGACTCCAACTTTAAACTAATCGTACAGAACTTAGTAGATAACGTTGATGTGCCGTACATGAATGTACATCCGATGCCAATACAAAGTGTATGGCAGAATTGTGACCAGATACAAAGTAATTACTATGACAATGAAATCAGACAGAAGAACAATGGAAGACTAGATTATATTGTTGTAGGTGTAGGAAGTGATGGCCACACTGCTTCGCTGTTCCCACACAGCTCTGCTTTGGAAGAAGACAGCAAGTTTGTTACAGCGACGGCGACACCAGATGGTTCCAAACGGTTGTCGCTCACTTACCCATCTTTGAATGCTGCACGTACCGTTTCAGTCCTTGTAACTGGATCTGATAAAGTAGATATATTACATAAAATAAAAGGTGGGAAGGTTGATAAAACAAACTTACCTATAACGGGTGTGTCACCTGTATCAGGTGATATCAGGTGGTACATAGATGATGAAGCTCTCATTGGTTGACAAACATGTGAGAGGCATTTTCCATCCCTGCATAGGAGTCTTGAAATAGAGAGGGTGAAGGGGGCCTCGATGATTAAGTGAGGGCTAGCTTACAAAATACGCTGATTTTTAACTTTGAGTGCGATTTTTTGCTTTGGCCATTTTCAGTGGTGGACGCAAGTTTTTTTAGGGGATGTGTGCGCGAGTGTTTTTTTTTAGCTACCACGTACAGAGGTGGTGCTGGCTAGATAGTACCATAAATGCTTGAATAAGTGTTGGGGCACTTATATAATTTTTGGAGGCTTTGGTGCAACGCAGATAAAACAAATATTGGCGTGGCGCTTTCCATGGCATTTCCATATCTCATTCTTAGGCCTATACATAGGAAAAAAAATAAAAGGCATAGGCAATTATTATATTCCAACAATATTGAGTAGTTGGATATGAAGTCTTTCCTCCATGGATCGGCAGGCCTGAAGGATGCACTTTCGTATATAAATTATTACAACTTGTCAAATTTGTTAAATTTATTTAATTGAAGGCTAGTTGGGCTAAGCCTAGTTTGTCTGATCTGCCACCTATGCCCAGGTAGGTAGCCAGAACCCATTAGTATTTTGTTACGTTTCTTCAGAGAGTGGGGTTCGTTTCCCTTCTGGAGTCCAGAGGCAGAGCCGCAGTGGGCGTCCAGGAGGGCCCTGGCGCTCTGATGATCTCAGCATTTTTAAGCTGTTTTAAAACAATTTCGGGGAGTGTTTGTTGACAATACCGGGTACGGTACATGAACAAAAACATTTTTAATAAAGCCACGTACAATTTGAGTTTCAATGTAGCCCTACATTATGTTTAATTTGAGCATCCAAATTATGTAAACAAAAAATGAATAGGCATTCTGATCAATTTTAGTAACGCATCAGTGAATTAAGTATTGACGTAAATAATGTCTAATGACCATTTTTAATAAAACCAATTCCTTCTAATTTTAAATACATTTTCTCAAGAATTCCTGATAATTTGTTATCACGCATAGACCTGTGCAAAATTTATGATCACGCATTGGTTCTGCAAAATTTGTGACCGTCCTGCATGATGCAAGACGGTTAGTAACTATGTTATTTTTACTGTTTACTTATGAAAAAAATAAATGTTTATTTGAATTAAATATTTTGCAATGTATTTATAATAAAAGATAAAATTTTATCAATTTTCAGTATTCTGTATACAGTACTTTTAGTTATGCGAGATGGTCTGAGTTTGCACCAATTGACAGAGTTGGATAACTCCCTTTCAACAATTGTCATATTACTGTATGTCATTTATAGGTATTAATGATTACTAAATCAGTGATAGACAGCAGTTATTTATGTGAAATTATAATTCACAATGGTAAGATTCCCTTGCACACTTTCATAACTGCACATACTGTAGTTTCAATACTATACTCAACATACAAAACTTGTACAGTATAATCAGATACACTTGAATAATTCTTTTATTGGTATGAAATATTTCAATATAGAAGATGCAATTTGAAACAAAATAAGATTTTTTTTTAAAATAAATACCAATAATATAATATTGATAATCAAATGTAAGCCCAATTTTAAAACGTACTTATAAATATATATTGTAAACCTTCACATGGGGAGTTAATACAGTGCTGTAAATGTTACATGCTAATTGAAGCAGCATAGTACCTAAGTGTGGTTATTTCTAAGCAGAAAATGCTAAAAAAAAAGTGGTTGCTGCAGCACAGTAGCAAAGGGTTAGTAAATTTAATTGTAAAGTATAATATGTAAAAAATGTAAAAACAAATCCACAATACCTGTTAATGTATAGTCAAGACTACTTTGATATTCTACTTGCATTACAGACCTACAAGACCACCTGAGTTCCAGTGTGAGGGTATAGCATATAAACTAGGATCTGTCCCTGAATATTTGGACCAACAAATTCAGCTTTAACCCAATAATAACAGTTCATGAGACATCCTCATTTATAACAATTACACATTAGTCTTCAAAGGTCATTCTAGAGACACCCTTATTTTTCATGAACCTTCTGTACATTTTATATTTGCTATTATTTGCTAATTTCTTCCTTTCTTCTTCCATGAGTTCTTCTTTAAGTTCCTGTAGAAATATTAAAAAACGACATTAACTAGACAAGAATAAATGTACACCATTAATCAATAATAAGCTATTGTGCCAGTCAAGCATAGATGATTGTTGCCAATTGTAAACATCATTTCATTTATGTTATTCATTCATTACATCTAGTTCTAAATGTTATTGCAGGTTGTGAAGACCCAACTCAATAGCCATAGTTCTTCCCACTACAATACAAATTAGCTAAAGTTGTTAATTTAAATATGTGTACTGATGAACTTCAGTCATTCATTCAATCAAGTAACACACAGTGGGGTTGTTGAGGCACTATTGATGATGGCCTCACAAATCTCCGCCTACTAGTCATTGTCATGCACCACGAAAACTCCTAATTTGATGCAAATTGTACTTTATAATAAAATTTAGTTGGGAACCACCGGCTGTATTGTGGGTTACTGTTGTTTGGTTGCTAGGCCCATTGGGCAGATTAAACTGCATGTCAGCAACGCATAGAATATTTGACAATTACCTTAAAATTTTGAAATACCCAAGCCTCTCTGTCTATATAAACTTGCTTCTGCTCATCAGTTAGAGCCTAAAATTAAACAAATATAAACTGTTTTAGAAAGCAAGATTGTCAATATAAAGATTGTGTATCTCCAGTTACTATTATTGAGAAAATAATTTACTAGATATGAATAGGAACATCGAACAGTTCTGATTTTATGTTGAATTTATTTTTTAATATATTTGTAATAATAATAATAATAGATGGATTTATGTAGCACAAATAAACCTTGTGACTTCTGGGACTGTCAGTTTAATAAGCAAAATATTACTAAGAAACATACATCAAATTGTCCTTGTGACACCCTCAAGTGTTTCCTTATAAGGTATTGCTTCTCATCATCACCATACTCTTCCCTCTTGATGTTAAACTTCCAGATCCATCTTAGATACCACACAATGTAATTAAATATATAATATGGAAATATAAATATCTGTATCCACAGTACATCTGTAATAAGAGGCTTGCAGTACACACCACTGTGGAGGCAATGGAAGAGTGAAATTAAAGATAGCAAGGTAACAACAATCAATCAGTGAGGTACATGAGGTGTCATTCAAAATTCATTCATATAATGATACTGATCAACACAACCTTGATTGTGTTGGTAAAGTGTGCTAAACTATATTGTAATACAGTATTCACCAACTCACAATTTTACCTTTACAGACATTTGTTGATATCTGCAGGCTTATATCGTTTTGGAAAGAAAATACCAATGATTATTAGCTGCTTAGTAGGAAAAATTATACAATTTCATTGTTTTTTTTTAATTTCTATTTAAAATATAAGCATTTGTTTCTGAAGTATTTTGTGCTATATACTGTATCTATTTTGTTTGTAAATTTGTAATTGACTGTTTTGGCTCACCGTATATCTGCATTTTCTTCCACAATTTTTCTTAGAATTTCATTTTCTTCTTCCTTTATTTCATCCTGAAATAATAGTAATAAATAAATGTTGAATGGCCGAGCAGTTAAGCTTTACCCATTAATTATCATGTGACCAATACTGCTTCCTGATTGCAGATGTCTATTCCTTGGCCCTTGTGCTCAGAAAATAAAATATATAAATAAAATAAGAATAATAGTTATATTTTTGTTTATTTTGTTTATTTATTTATGTATAAAACTCAAAAACATGCATAAATCCTACCTTTGACCTTTTATCTTTCTTCTTTTGCTTGGATATAAGGCCTTGTGATGTGGCCATTTCCATAGCTTTCAATCTGTACTTAGGAACCATCATAATGGAGTTGATAGCTTCATTGTAGCGTGCCCACCATACATAGTACTAAATGAGAAAATAAAAATTTAAAAGATGAAAATGATATAAATACTTATAATACTGTAATTAATAAAGATTTTCTGCATTATGAAAAATGTAAATTTGTCATATTTTGCATGGAGGCCAACCTGAATAAGAGATATGACGCTTATAGTAACAGCAACAACAATTTTGGGGTCAACCTTTGGAACAACCTTCCTTCTATAGTACCGGTAATAATTTCTGTACAACTCATCTGAAATAAAAAAAAAAAAACATTACTGTATTTAATATAATATTTAAAACTGTAGTCTCCAATCAATTGTTCGACTTTTCCAAACTATGTCAAGTTTAATCCATCAATCAATTTAAGTGAGAGCTATTCCAATTCCTATCTCCCTTAATTCTATGCACCATCATTGGCAACAGGAGTGTAGTTGGATGGAATTGAATAATGATGGTCACTATTGCATTAGTGGGAAGGAGATGGGTAGTGAATAGGTTATATCAGCAGACACAGGGGAGGCTATGGATATGACAACTTTATGGAGAGTTGAAATTTTGTTTTATGGTAGAGACCACAGAAAAGAAGTGATCCAGTTTATTGATAACTTGTTCTTAAGAGTTGAACATCATGCAGTTATCCTGTCCTCATTTGACGACAACTGCTAGGTTCTGAGAAAGTACATACAGTATATGCTAGAATCTCCATATTTTCCGGTTGTAACATGTTGCGCAGGCTTTGGTCCGAAAACTAAAACATAACTTGTCACCAACAAAAGAAAGGTAAACCTAAGGAAGTGATGAAAGCAGATATTTGAAAAAAGAAAAGGAAGTTTACCTGGATTATCCAGCATGTAATCATAATCCTGCCTGGAGTCATCTTCCTTCAGGATTTCATATGCATTGCTTATGGAAATGAATTTCTTTTCTCCATCCTTTCCCTGAAATTTACAAATCAATTGAATTGTTATTATTAATATTGTCAAATTTCCTTAAAGTAGGAAGGCCTGAATTCTTAGTTCTTAAATGAAAAAGACTAACCTTGTATTTGTCAGGATGGTAGAGCCTGGCTAGACGTCGGTAACTCTTACTGATTTCGCCCTAGAGACAAAGAAATCAATAAAAAATAACATCATCAAATAGACGTTGATAACTAAGAAAATATAGAAAAAATAGTTAGATTATCATCTCCTGCCTGTGTCAAAAAAATTTGGGAAATATTGATGTGGGAATTTTTAAAAAAATGTTTTGCCTCATCATTTATTTCAACAGCTTATAAAAACAATGCAATTTTGTGACTGGAAATACATTTTCTTTAAAAAACAATAATATTAAACCAGTTTTAATACAATATTTACAATATTCTTGCAAAATAAAAACAGTCCCTGTATCATCAATAATTTAAAAAAAAAGCAATATTCTATTTTTTTAAAAACTACCCTCCCTCATCACTTAAAAAAAAAAAAAGAGTGATATTATCTAATAATTTTTTCTATGTGACCTAAAGGACTTGACTGGTCACTGAAATTTGCATTAAACATCAATATTTAGAGGACCACTGCAATTCTCACCTTTGTTGCATCCCTTGAGACATTCAATACTGAAAGAAAAATATATAAATTTTAAGAAATCTAATGCACTGCAGTACATACAGTGTAATTTTCATGCAAAAATAGAATAACAGACGGCTTCCCAAAAGCTGCAAATGGATGTGTGTTGTGTTTGGTGTATCGAATCAGGAAAAGTACTGTAGGCCTAGTTTAATAAAAATAGTAAAACATGTTGGGTCCAGAAGCAAGCCCTGTGTGTAAGATATAGTGGAGATGTGATTTTATCTATTTCGATAATACTCCAGTAACATGCACTTCACAGTGTCTGCATACTATACTACTATTATTTATACATTATCTAGGCTAGGTCTAGGGCCTATGTAGCAGGCTTAAAAAACTGCCATTTGTGATACGAAAAATTGAAATTGTTTCTATAAATAACTCATCATATTCATAAATACCACGTCCACCACAATCTCTACAAAAATGGGATATATTATACGATTTTGGATTCCGATATATCACCAGTCACAGGCAAATATACACGAAAAAACAAACATAAATAGTGGTGTTCAAGCAAAATTATATTCTTGGTTGTTCATCTGTGGCTCTCAAGAGACCACCCGTGTTATGAACAGGTGCGACAGAGAGGGGGCCCATACAGATCTGACACGTACGTAGGCTATTATTAGGGTTAAGGTAAGCTAGTCCTGGTGGAAGGCCCGGTAGGTAGGCTCAGTCAACCATCAATGATCATAGTTTCTCGTGCTCTAGCAATGACTTGCTTACCGTCGTAACAATTTTCTTTACCACAGTATAAGCCTTCGATAAGTGCTTCACAACCTCTTATAGAGCATAGTGCTAAAAGTACCACAATCGGGCCCATTTTGTATTATATTATTGAGGTACCTTTTTCATTCAGGCTACGGATGCATCCATGCTGTTGTTGACATCGGCAATTTTGTCAGTACAGAGGGCGACAAACTTATTTATTTTATTTGGTCACACTACTTATTTATTTTATTTTGTCACGCTACACCTTGTGTCGGTGGCATTACAGAAGTGGTGCCTCATACAAAATACAAATACACAAAGAGAAAAAAGTGGGGAAAAAATCTTAACTGACAAATTAAAACAATAATATTCTGAAAAAAAGAGTCAGATAAATCAAGTAGCATAAAAAGCAAATTAAGCACCAAAACTCCAATAGAAACAACAGTTAAAACAAAATTCAAAACAAAATTAGTGGGAAATAGGCCTATTAGGCCCTATGAAAATATTACACATTTACAGTACTGCATTCTAACTTTTCATATAACATAATATCATAAAGCAAACTAATGATTCCCCAAATTTTCCCTTTCATCCCTGCATTCCAAGTTGATTTTAGTAGGCCATCATTCATACACTTTCGGAAGCTTTTCGGAGGTCAAGGAAGGCTAGACGGTCTTTTACCTTCATTTGACCAACAAAATGAATTTTTAGTGTGAAAATTATGGTCTTCACAACGGTAATTAGGTCTAAAAAAAAACTCCCTGGTTCCGAAAGCAAGTTTTCTTTTTCAACAAAAGTGGAAATATGGCAATTATTCTGTTAAAAACGTTAAAAACGCTGGCGCCACCCCTGATTTTTTCCAATTGAACATGTTGCTAAATAAGTAAACAAGACATTCCTTGTAAAGCAACACCACCATTCTTTTAGGATTAATTAGTTGCTTCAGCAACAATTTCAAGGACAACGTTGAGAGTATTTTTTTGTTATCGCCATTATCATTATCAATATTTATTGAAATGGAGTGCATCTCATCAACTGCCATTTTAGTTAGAAAAGTAAAACAATTATAAAGATAAACTTTATGGAGCAAGAGATATGTCATTGGTATCGATCATGTACATTCAGTGCTATCTGTTGTCAAGGTCGAAACAGAAAATCCCATCAAGTGGTGAAGAGGACGGCTGTCATAACCAAAAGAAAGATGAGGAGAAATAACGGGAGCCACTGTCTTAATTTTTCTCTTGAGTTAATTGTTATATATATATTGTACATTTTATTTCATCTGGAAAATACTACTCTATGAGTCTCATATTCGAGAGTTTTAAATTAAACAGATGGGTGTTTGGACCCTCTGGTAGTTAGTTAGGGTACCCTACGGCGAGACATATTATAAATATAATATAATTTATTTCCATCCGTTCAACTAACAAATCCGAAACCTAGGAGGAAGCCTGTATACAGATTCCGGTAACTAACTTACACCATTATACCTTTGCAAATTAACTACAACATATAACGGACATAAACGCATACCCGCCTCAATAATAAAGGTTTTTCGAGAAGCCAAGCGCTTAGGCAATTAACCGGCGTCTTCAGCACAAGAAGCAATACCCAAGCCTGGCAACATTCCATGTAAGGCAAGAGCTGGTGAAGTGGATTCACCTTGTCGGCAGTTTGTAACAAATGATGCCTGCGAATTGAGTGTCGACGAAATGTCCTTTCGCCTATTTAGAGGTGCAATAATCCTCTCTTAACTCAGTCCCAACCACTATAGAAGGGCCTGAGGTGGGTGGACCCTCCATCCGTGAAAGTCCCTACCTGGACCCCCTCTATTTCGAACTCCTGTTACCACCTTTATTCCTTTTGTTTCCTCCATTTGCTTGCTTTCTTTTTGTATATTCACAACATTCAAATTCGTAAGTATCTCTGCTTAAAAAATTGTTCATGCATTTATTTCTTCTCCCTGTGTATTGGTTTACCCAAGTTCCTCATCCATTACAGAAACTCTGCTGCCTAAATTTTTTTCTTAATTCCCGTTAACAACACATTAAACGCATCCTTTATGATTTACATTGGCTTCCTGTTGAAGCAATTAAACAAGCACCATATTTTTTTATAGTTTTCTGTGCCCTATGTTCCTATGAAAAGGAAAAGAAACAATGGTTTGACAAAATCAAGGAATGGACAAGAATGAGCTATACTTGCACAAAACTGGATGGCTTGGAAGCAAAAAATATGATGTGAACGTATGGTATTCAATCGTCAAATTGAAGGCTGCAAAAGCAAACAAAGCGAACACGCAATCATGAGAAATAGAAAATTACAAAAAAAAATTAAGTTATAAAAGTTTTTATTAACCTTCTGCCATGAATTACATCATGATAAAAATATTTTTCCCAAGAATTAGATACAATAGAATTTATCAGTCTAAATTACTAAATTGTTTACATTGCCACATCGCTTATTACATGATGAGATCTCAAGCGAAGGCTAAAGAACCCTTTAATTACTTTGTAACTGCAAAAACTCTTTACTAATTTATATGTATTTTATCCTCCCTAGATGCTTTTTGTAGAATTATTTTGCTAAGTAAATACATTTTCTTTTAATTTCTTTTTCTTCCATCCTCTGAAGATCATTAACATGAAGTCTGCTTAAAAAAAGTCTCATCTGGGCTTTGGGTGTACTAATGAGTGGAGGGGGGGGGGTCTGTTAGATTATCATCAGGCAATAATGATCATATAGTACACAATGTATCAGTCAATAACAATCTTATAATGTACACTATACAAGTCAATAATGGTCATGTAGTGCAAACTGTATCAGTCATACATATGATCATATAGTACACATTGATTAGCTCCTTCTAGTCCTTCTCAGTTCACTGTTTGTTTATTAACTTGTGTAATTGCCCGAATGATGGGATATAGAAATCAGGAACTAGTGTTTGCATGGATTCTGAGGAGCTTTGTTGATTCCTTTCAACATCTTCTAAGCTGGAAATACCAGTTAAAACCATCAGAGTCTTCAAGTTGCAGTTTTTGCCAAGAAGAATATCCGTGTCCAGTCTGTCGCCAACCATTACAGTTCGTTCAGGGTCAACTGTCGGGAATCTGCAAAAAAATGTTTTTAAATACTTTGGTTAATAGTTAATACGAATGCTGTTGGAAGATAGTAGGACATGGTGTCACCAAGGGGCTGTTTGACCCAGTGGCATTACGTACTGTATTGCATCAACAAAACAGTTAAACTTAAGTCGTCAAATAGATAAAACAATTGACATTTTCATTTTGTATGAATCTTGTCAAATGTATTTTAATATATTTACGAAGGCTCCTGAACATTAGCTGGGCCTCAGGGCTTAGTTTAAGTGTAACCCTTATCTACGATAAAAATACAGGTAAATTTTAAAAATTGCATAATAAGCATTTTTTTTACAATTATTTATATATGTTTATATATTTCATGTATAAACATGAAACCTTACTTTTCTTTCACACACTCAAACATTAGTTTGTTTGGTTTCCCCACAACTGTTGGTTGTCGAGCAGCAGCTTTTGTTACAGCTTCTACCAGACAACCAGTACCTAGTACGAGAAAATGAGAGGAATACAAGAGGGTGAAAAGAATTTCAGACTAGAATACTTGAATATAAAATGAAAATGGAAGATACAAACTCCATTTTGTCTAAATAAACCACCATGGCATATTGAAAGGGATGCAAATGATAAACAGTTTGATTTTGATGACAAATAATGATTGATTGATGACAATAAAAATAAAACGATGATCAATTTAAGAACAAATTATCTTGGTAGCCACATCAAGCAGCAATATGTAGAGACGTACCTGGAATAACTCTACCCTTATTTGGCATTGGTAATCTACCATCTAGGTTTGTAGCTATGTAAGGAAAGCTAGGATTACTCAGATAACTTGCAGCCCGACAGACTTTCCGAAACGTAATCAAAGGGTCAAACCCAACTAACACACCTCGAACCTAAAGGAGGAGAATATGCAGAAATTTAAGACAAATTATTTATGTAAGCTTTTATTTCTTGGTACAATATAATTTATTCCAAAGTTAAATTTTCCCCATTGTACTATTACAGTTAAACTTGTCTGAGTCGACTTTTCCTAAGTCAACTTGTTTCTAAGTCGATCTTATTTTACATGCCAAATTGTTGTGTTTTTCATTAATTAACGATCTGTAATTCAAATTTTATCTAAGTCAAACAGTTTTCCAATGCCATTTTGGATTCGACTTAGGCCAAGTTCTACTGTATTATTAGCATATTCTATGCAGAGCAGGAAATATGGCAAGCCTACTATAGTACAGAGTATGTGGTGCCAGTTACATTGAAAAAAATTTAGAGATGTAATTTGTTTTTGCATTTTTTGATTACTAGCACCTACTTAGAGCCACACAAATTAAGCTTTCTAAGGACCTGGGTTGTCTTGAGATTGACTTACCTCAGAATCAAGTTCAATGTTAGACCAGTCATGAACATCTTCCCCTTCCACCACATGATCACACTGGAAATAAAAACACTCAAGTAGGTGTGTTGTTTCACATATAGTAATCCAGTAAATAAGTCATGGCTTGTGTTTAAAATTATGACATTTAACTTGTGAAATAAATGATATTATATATACACTTTTTGTAATGTACAGTAAATAATGTTTCAGTTATTCTAACTCTTATTTACTGTAGTGTTCATGGATGGAATGTATCCAAATATACCTCTACAAGTTGTTACGCTCAACTTACCCCAGGACCAATGAATGGGATTTCCTGCAATGCAAACTCTTCAGCGAGCCCAGATCCTCCTATTAGGTAAACTTTGCCCTCAAACTTTAATTTGTGTTTAAAATACAGAGCAGCAACATATGCAGTACCAAATATCTCCTCCTGTATGGGGGAAAATAAATTTTCAGGTTTTTTTTTTTTTTTTCAAAATTAGTAATCCAATTCAAAATATGATGACCATGATGAAGAACATGTGTTAAAATTCTCTGGTGAGAAACCTTAGACTAAGGTCAAAGGGCATGGTACAAGTTCCTGTATTATTATTATTATAATAAACTAAAGATCGAATATCCCAGTTCCCGAAACAAACTTAATTCTTCCTTCAAATGTGAATTTTATATGTGTTTTTTTTATAGAATTCATTGACGCATAGATGAGTTGTTTATTTAATGCAGGGAAAAATGTTTGATTTTCTCCTTTGTAAAAGGGTCCAAAGTGCACAGAAACTGAATAAGAACTAAGTAAATTTAGTTTAAGGTCAAAATACAATTGATTCAATGATGAATTCATCTTGTTGTAAACAAAACAATAATAATACAACATCACTGAATTGTGCTTGGCATAATGCATAGAGTACAGATTATGTTTCCCTTTCTCTGCCCTCTAGTAAGGTAAAGGTTGTCGAACCTGTACAGGTGCGGAATGCCCATCCCTCTTTCTAAGCATTGGGGTTAGAATGTGCAATGCTTTTCGGTAGGGGATTGCCACTCCTCCTCACCGCGAATCTGTCTACCTTCCCAGAATATGGCAGTACACATACTCCTGGGGAGAGAGACAAACACAGACAAAGTGCCTTGCCCAAGGACACAAGCAATCCGCACAGTGAGGGTTTTCGAACCCCCGACCACTAGGTTGAGAGTCCGAAACTCAACACTTCCCTCCGGTAATATTATTGGACAGAAAGTTTTAGTCAATTCTGAAAAAGTTGTATGAAGTTCTTGTTGATAGTTGGATATTATCTTGCCAAGTCAATAAAAAAAATGATTTGATAAAAAATCATTAAAGATCTACTGACCTCTGACACAGAAAATCCTAACCTTTGGAACTTTTCAACATACTGTCTTCGAGATTTTGTGCTGTTGTTTGTGACAAATATTGGCTGCTTTCCCTACAAAATATAATCGTTTTTAAATCGGACAGCATTAAAATTTAATACTGAAATTTGTTAATTCATCCAACTGTAATAAATGACAGTTACAGATGTGTGTACACTTATACTGTAGACTTACTCTCAGTATAAGTTTCCAAAAGTGACTTTACATTTAATTAATAAACATTAAAAAAAACAAAAAAACAATCGAATTGTAACCTCCTTTAGCCTACAACATGTTGTGCATTAACACTTTAAAGTGAAGAGAACCCCATAACGGACCTTTTAAAACCCAGTATTTTTCAGGCCTCGCACATGTTCATTGTGGTAAATTTTGCATCTATTTAATCTTTGTTTTTAGCTTTAAAACTAAACTCAATGACTGATGATTTATGGAATAATCAGAATAAATAATAAACAAGTGTTCATGGGTCTGAATACTGTGTATTGAGTAAAATCCACAATGTAGGTTTAAGAAACAGGAGAGCTTTGAGACAAATAATTAAATTAATATGGCTAAATTAAAAGTAGTATTTTAATGGTGTGTAAAACAGCTTTCAATACATTGTGGCAAACATATTATTTGTGCATCATAAAAGGAAATTGCCACAACGTGTTGGGCTGTAGCAAACTGTATTTGGTGGTAAATGTTTAAATTTATGAAAGCTATATCAGTAAGATGTCACAAAATTACCCTTTCTCTTAGAGTCTGAATTGTTTCAATTGCACCCTCAATTGGGTTATTTGCATTCCAAAGTACACCTGCATACAAATAAGAGTGTAAAGAATATTAAAATATACACTATTCATTAATGTTGTCTACAAGATACAAGTCAAATAATATTTAAAAAATAAATGCTATTTTGAACATTTAAGAACTTATTCCCACATACCATGCGAATAACATCTTAATTTGCACAGTAGGCCTACAGTGCAAATAATTTCTAATGTATGGTACCATCCATGCAAATAGTCTCTTCCAAATAATTATTTGTTCGTAGATTTGTAGATGATACTGTTGCAGTAAAATGCAAATTAAATAACACTATAATAACCTAACAGATGTGGGGTGGTTTAGTGCGGAGTTGTAAAATTTTTGTAGACACATTATTGGGTATTACATTGCAAAAAGATTTACTATATAGCACAAAATGTATATTAAAAAGTGTCAAAATTTGAGTGCATTTGGTTTAAATGTTTTTCTCTATAGGCCTATCCTAGGCCTCCTAGTAAATATCAGAATCTTGAACACTAAATAAGTAGGCCTAGGCCCGCCTCATCATAATTCCTCCATCCATTTGTATTTTCATTTAGTTCCGTTTATTGATTTGACCTTTAAAATAAATATAAAAAAAATATGTTTATTTTTCAAACTAAAATTCAGATGTGTTACGTTTAACCCGGTTTTAGTTGTAGTATTGTAGTATCTTACACATAGCATACATAGCCCCTATGCCTTGATCTAGGCCACACAGAAATAGGCTTATTCATATTGTTATTATATTACTGTATTATAAATAAGCTAGCAAAATCAAATCGAACTCAACATCATACATACATACCATCACAGTCAATGAGGACAGAGTCGATTGAGTCCAGAAATTGTTCAATGTTTGCACTGGTTAACTGTTTGCACTTCGCTGCCCCGTTTGCAGCCATTTCATCTGTTCAGTGTTATATAAAAACTGTAGTATTTAATGTTGTAAATACGGCACATAAAATGATTGCAACCATACCCCAAACTCTAGTAGAATTACAAACAAATAAACAGTCTTCGCTGCTTGCAACTAGCTCTTTTCTTCAGTTTTGAAGCTCCCTCACAAGTGCCAAGGGGCGCGACTGACCGTGTAGACTTTTTACGCCAGACGTGAAGTACTTTCGACCAGCAAGTATGGAACGCCGAGAGTGCCTTCAGTGAGCATTACAATGAAGCAGAGTCCAAATTCAATGCTTTAGTGATCAAATTCATTCAGTAATGACCAAATGCAATGCAGCAGTGACCAAATTCATTCAGCAGTGACCAAATTCAATGCAGCAGTGACCAAATTTGTTCAGCAATGACCAAATTTAATTCATTCAGCAGTGACTAAATTCATTCAGCAGTGACCAACTTCATTCAGCAGTGACCAAATGCTTCAGTAGTGACCAAATTCATGCTGCAATGACCAAATTAATGCTGCAATGACCAAATTAATGCTGCAGTGACCAAATTTATTCAGCAGTGACCAAATTCATTCACATCATCATCAACATCACCACCACCATCATCATCAACATCATCACCAACAACAGCATCATATTCATCTTCATTATCAACATCACTATCATCATCAATACTGTCATCATAGTCATCATCAACATCACCACCATCAGTACTACCACCTCCAATACCCGGATCATCAAAAGAAATTTCATATTACTTTACTATTAACCTTTTTTTGCGGGGGTGGGGTGGTTTGTAACTAGGTTCATTGCTCCATTTTTAAGAATGATCTGTACTAACCTTATCAATTTGTGGTTGCCATCGATGTGCCACACATGATTAGGAACTTCTACCGAGTAAACCCATCTATGTAAACGTCTTCTTCTTGCAATTTTCCCTTCTCCGTCGACTCGACAAACCGAATTTTTGTGAATCCTGTCTTGGTACAGGTATACCCCTTTCTTTAAAAAATCCCTTTAACATAACCTCATCAGAATTAGGGTGAGCAGCCAAAATTCAATGAATATTGTTGTCGACGGTATTCGTCAATGACGCATTATGACTGAGCAGACAATCCAAGCTTATCGAGTCTTCTAAAAACTGTACGGCTAACGTTCAAAATGTTTGCAATGTAGTTCACACTGAATCCATGTTCAATTAAACTTTTTAGGACATCATCGTCATCAACATCATCTTCAGTGTCACCGTCAATTATATCATCACCATCAGCAACATCATCATCGTAATCATCAACATCACCATCAACATCATCACCATCAACAACATCATCAACACCACCACCATCATCAACAACAACAACATCACTATCATCATCATTACCGTCATCATAATAATAATAACCATCATTACTACCACTACCATTTTCAGTTAAGAAAATGCACATTTCTTTTAATTCTCGCTGCTTTACTTGATCGAAAATTCCAAGACTATGGAAATGTGTATTGCAATGCTCACTAAAGGCACTTCCGGCGTTCCATAACCAAGTGTTGGAAGTTGTTGCTTTTGATGAGGTATTTAAGTTATACCAAACAGGTCGGTCACTCATGGTTGACCCTACTATATTAAATACATGTTTTACCAATCACAGATATGTTATTGATTAAGTTTACATCCTGTCTCTTATACACATCTAGATGTGTATAAGAGACAGGATCTAGGCCACACAGAGTTTATTCAGTTTTCAGTGTAAATGTGTCTTCTGTAAAATTGTACCCTTCAGGCTTCATTTAGCTTGTCAAATGTAATTTCAATTGTTAAATCGGCGGTCTCTGCACTAGATTGCCATTCAATCATGTTGTTTCTATGCTAATTATGCCAGAAATATCAAATACAGTATGCTACTACTGTTTTGGTTTGTTTGTAATATGGTACTATTTTTTTTCCTTTATATCGCAGTTGTAACAATCAACGACTATGCAAACACATCCAGCCCTCACCCACCTGATATAAGAAACACAAAGAAGCTGAATTGCTGTATCACAAATAAAGGTAAGATTCAGTGTTTTGGATGTTCAATCTCTCCTGATATGGATTGATGTAACAAAGGGGAGCTGCAAAGGGGGGGGGGGGCACACTCTGGTGTTTTTAGCATTCTATGGTGTATTTTAATGCCTTTTTTACACATTAAAAAACATACTTAATTTTAACTAAGATATCACTAATAAACATACCGTATTACAATAAATACCACAGACTTTGGCTTGGAAAAGGGCCTTGGTTATTTGTAAAAAAAATATTTGAATTTGCTGGGGGAATCCTGAGGCTGTGGGACCCCTGGCTTTAGCCAGTGAGAGCTCATAGCTGTTATGCCACTGCTGATATGATCGGGAGTCACCTCAATTTTCATGCGATCTCTGGATCTCTGTAATAATATTTAATGTTAATAAATAATTGGTACTTTACAGTTCAGAAGATGGATATAGTTGATAATAATCAACAAATATTGGAAGATAATTTAAAGTGGTATGAAAAGGATGATTTCGAATTTGAAATGGTTGAGGATGCTATTGAAGAAATTGAAACCAATGAAAACAATGATATAGATTTTGAAGCAGACACAATTGTAAAGCTGAAACGTCAGGGTTTGCATACACACCAAGAAGGGAGTAACAAAGGGGTTGTATTTCCTGCGGTCATCTGGTTCCTGTTGTCCAAGTACATTGCGCCAGAAGATGTTTGGAGGTTTGCTTGTTTGTGTTATGATGCTTGTGCAGTTACAAATACTGTGGCATTTTGGAGGTCTCTGTACTTCAGGTAATTAAAATTTTAGTTTTAATATATAAAATGTATCAACTGCACAACTGAAATATTCCCACAAAAAGTGTACTACAGTATAGTCTTGAATTTTTTTTCCAGGTATAAGGATGAGAAGATCAAGCTTCCACGATTTCTATCTTCAGAGCTCATTGAGGGAATATATGGCGTTAGGTACTTAACAATCTGTGCATTATACATCATGTATGAGCCATTTCGAAGAAGAACAGTTATCCATACTCCTATTGGTGAAGGAAGCACAAGTCCTTACACATTGATAAACCAGATATGCAAATACACCTGGTCAGAATACAAACCAGGTGGCGAGTGTACCTGTTACCTGTTGTTTGAAGATATTCCTAAAACAAAAACTTTGTTGCAATTTGATAATGATATTTATGCTAATAACTTTAAGAATCAAACAATTTTAAGAGTATATTGTCGCAGTTTTCAAAACCTTCCTCAAGCGGAAATCATGGGACTGCAGCTTTCAAACGTTTTCTTCAACGTTAGCAGCGACATGAGAAACCATAAATTGAGGCTTATTTTTCAGGGTGAGAGGAAAAGGGGATACCATCGTGCAAATGGTAGCCAAGTGCCAGCTGTGCTTGATCCAGTAATTTGGGTTCATATCCTTCATTGGTGGCACCCACAGTTTCTGAATTGTAAGCGAGCAAATTGATGTAGGCCTAGAATTGTAATAAATTTCAGTTTTGATTCCTATTAAGAAATATAGCAACCATTGCAATCAAAATGGTGTATGTGTGTGTGTGCATACATGGATGTATGTTAAGCTGACATCATCACAGGCAAACATGAATTTCCAAACACTTGTATATTATTGATTTTTGATACATGTAGCACTCTGGCCCTGTAGTAGCTTCAAAACAATTTTGGGAAACATGAAATCAGTATACATTCAAGCCTTGAAGTTTTCACACCCAGTTTAAAGCTAATTACATTCCTTATTTTTTTTAACCCATACTTAAAACCCACTCTTACTATTTAAATGTCCAACCCCACAGCTTTCTACAGCTACCGATGTTTGTAGTTTCTAAATTCCAGCAATATAAAAACTTGTACGTATTTACAGTACACTATTTTTAAATAATTTCTGTTCAAAATATAAAAAAATACAAGTAACAAAGCATGCTTCTGTGAATTTTTATTTATTTCTACTGTGTTATCTTTAACATTCTACACAAATACAGTACAGTATTCTCTTTTTAAAAATCCAATCATTACATTCCTCAGTTTTTTACAGAAAGACCTTGTTCAATAATCAAAGAGGCTAAGGTCCTTGTTGGCTCAGTACCAATCCTCCGAGAGAAGGTTAGAAATGCTAGGGTAGCACTCTTCAGAATATCACTGCACTTTCATTTATAATACAATGACAAATACTGTACCTCAATAAACACTGAACAAATTAAAAAATAATGCAAGCTGATTCATTTTTACATTGTGGTGGTAAACATATAACATATACATTGAAATATTTATCACATTCACAAATAAACATGTCTCAAATTGAACACTGATACTGTCTTAGTGCTGTACAATATCCATAGGCTTTAAAGGTTAAAAATACTAAAGGAGTTATCTAGAATTGAGGGGCAAAATGCAATATATTTTTCATAAAAAAAGCTTTTTCCCTTTTCAATTTAAAGCTGTTATGAAAATTAAAAGAATTCATCAGCAATATAAGTTTCACAAGGGCATACATAAAAAGCATTTATTATTAGAATTATCCTTACAAAATTATCAAGGCAAAACAATGCTGAATAAAAGTTGCAGTCCCACAATCCCAGATTGAACTAGCTTCAATCAAAGCACTTCAACAGTCCATACATTCTAACCCAAACCGGGATACTATTTTCATTAGTGAAACTGGATCTAGACTGAACTACCTTATTCTGCAGGACTGTATTTTAAGATAAAACAGAACATGCAGTTAAAATATTGCGTAAAGAAGACTAACTCCCAAGCTTATAAAAAAGTCTTGCCTTACATTAACATAACATTAAACCATTATCTTCCACCAAACACCACAAAATAATTACTGTATAGCCTATCAAAATGCTTAGTATTTAGCAATAATATCAAAATGCTTCAAAAGGCATAACTGTACAAAAATTACTTATGTTTTGTCCTTTCATTAAAGCATCAATAGATAAAAAGTTTTATTTTATTTTCATTTTAAATGTAATAATTGTATTATAAATTTGCAAGTGATTTCCTGTTCTTTCTTTAAAACAACTGGTTAAGATTCCAGTTGCAGTTCAGAATTGGGGATACCATGCTTTGTTTTTGTAAGCATTTTAATATTTTTTTTTATCAATTAAGCAAAAGATATTCTAGTAAGGATAAAAGGCATTCTTTATGACCAACTACTCCTTATCGTCCGCATGCTCCTGGTGCATGCTGGGTGATTTGCTGGATTCCTTTACATTGCTACTACCATTCTGATCTGGACTTCGGGAGCGCGAACGAGATCGAGATCTTGAACGTGATCGAGAACGGGATAGAGAACGGCTCCTATAACACAAAGGATTTGATGAGTAAGTGTTTAATCAATTATACAAAATAGGTAGCTAATAAGTGGGGGATCAGGGACAGCCTAGAACACCTCAATGGGGTTCAGTAGGAAAATAGAAAGTGTAGTGTATTGTTCCTAATTCCAGATATGCAATTATTTGCTAATATTTCCTAAATTTCCATGTGAAAATACATGCAAAGCTACTCACTTTTTTGTGTCTCTTACTGGTGATCGTGATCCTGATTTACGAGAGCCAGACCTAGATCGTGAACGAGATCGAGATTTTCTTCCACGAGACCTGAAAAGAAAAGTATACACAAAGTACATGTTATCAAAATTTATGGTTATGGGAGGTAAATATAAAGATCAGAACGTCAATGACAAACTTAATTGAATTAATACAACAGTTACTGATTTCTAAAAATAAGTTAAATTATAGAATTCAAACTGCAACAAATCATTAATAACAATTAAAATAAATTATACATAATTACAAATGTACAAAGTGTACATAAAAGAAAATAAGGCAAAAAAAACATACCTACTACGGCTTCGGCTTCTAAAACGTCCACGATTATGATATCCACGTCGAGGCGATCTAGATCTGAAATAAGTTTAACCAAGTTAACAACAGCAATACAATCAGAGTTGGTTCAAGACGGATGTTGTTCAGTGAGAGGGAAATTTATGGTTTCTTTTAGTAACTATTAACTTTTTTCTTTTATATACTTGATTAACAAGTTTGTTGACATAAGAAGATCCAGCAAACTGAAATCCAAACAGGGGAGAATGTAAAGAGATGATCACATACCATCTTTTTTTCTGTTTTAAAAATAAATTTGAATCAAAGCCAATAGAATCAAACAAGCATTTTACCAAATTTAGCTTTTTAAACTAAAGTTAATTAACAATGTGCTAGCTCTGTTCTCTATTGATAATGTGTTTTAAATCACACAGCACATGCGCCTACCGATAAACCTTTTAGTATGAAGTCTTCGCGCTGAAGTTTAGGGCGTTGTTTAGTAATTTGATTGGCATAAACGAAGTCCACTCCTATGAGGATATTCGTTGTGGGATGAGGAGACGATTGGAGTTGCCGGGAATGTTGCAACTTTAACAGCTGCAACTCAATGAGGAGTTGCTGCAAAGCATGCTGGTGATAGGGTGAGCTGAATGTTGATTTGCTGAATCAGAAGATGGTTGCTGCTGATTGGACAGGAGTGATCACATGATGTTTGTTGTAGTCATTGAAGAGTTGTTGAAGTAGAGGTTTAAGCCTGGAAAGTTGGCAGTAAATAGAGGTAACCGACAAAAAAAAAAAAACACAAGTAACTCCAAATTCAGTTTTAATGTATTGAATTATTATTTTATTAGCATTACTATTATTATATAACCAATGTGAACATGTTGCTATGACGATCTGTGAACAAAAATCCAGAGTTAATAGTAGAAAATTTTCATAATAGCTATTAAGTAAAAAAATGTTAAGTAGACTCCTAGTTGATGAAATACAGTTTAACATGAAATGAAAACAATAAATGATAATATATGACAAATATCACAGAATGTCAAATAACTAACAAGAAGTGAGTATAATTTAATCATGGATTTGCTATCAATTAATTTGTTTATATCTTAATTATTACAAATTCACAATATCTCTAAGCATTCTACACTTCTTTAAAGCTTTGACAAACTACACAACATAACTAAACAAAAATTGTGACATTCGCAGGATAATTAGCAATGGAGGTTACAAAATTATGAGCTTATTTTAACACATAAAAAAAATATTTACATTTTGTTGCTTAAATTTATTAAATGATAAACAGCACCAAAAAGACAACAGATGAGTATTCTTGTATCTTACCTGCTTCTGTACCGGCCATGTCGTCTGGGAGGTGGACCTCGACCACCACCACGCCCTCTTCTTGCTTTACCACTAGACATTTCAACACGGATTCTTCTATTGCAAACAATTCTACAGATTCAAAGAAATTCTATTTTTATTCTTATTTTTTCTTGTACAATCAATAACTAATGAAAGTTTTGATTATATTTTTGGAAAAAATAATATAATTGTAAATTTAAATATTAAAAAAAACTTCTGTAATATAAAAGGCAATACAGTCAACTATCCCAATGCAATGCCACAACATATAATAATATTAACAACTCAATAAATAATTTAATTCCTGTTATCATATCCAATAGTAATGCTGTCTCCACAAGAACAAAACTGATATAAATTTACATACAAAGGCCCTGGGTGTGAAATAATTGGGTTATTATTAGTATGTTTTGTGTAGATTTTACCTTCCATCGAGGCCACGGCAAGCATCTCTGGCATCATGGGGGTTCTCAAACTCAACAAAGGCAAAGCCTGGTGGATTTCTGGCTACCCACACATTCCTTAATGGCCCATAGAAACTAAATGAACGTTCTAACTCATGTTTCGCTGCCCCTGATCCCAACTCTCCTACATACACTTTGCAATCCAACGTTCCTAAGTCTCTATGGTGGGAGTAGCTCATCCTCATTGCTGAAAAAAAAAAGCACAAAGCATTACTATTTAACAAAATTAAATATTACTTAATGATTAATCATACTAGGCTAGGCAGCCTAGCTATTGTAGGCTGGAAAATTAATGAGGTAAAAGGCTTTTCATTTTTCTAAAGCCAAATATCACTTGTGGCCTGACTAGCCTAGGCCGGCCTAGCCCTAAAAGGCTGAGTGAGCGGGGAATTATCCGCACAAACATTTGGCCTAGAAAAAAGAAACCTGTCCGCGCATTTCGGATGATAATAAGGGCCGATTTCCACGCAGATTTTTCTAAAAATTAGGCTTTGACCAAATCTTAATATAAAAGCCTACTAGATATGCTAGAAACAGGCTAGGCCTAGTAGTAGTAGTAGGCCTAGGCTAGTACTAGGTTTGGCCCCACTACTACTACTAGGCCTAGTACTAGGCTAGCAGTAGTAGTACAGTAGGCCTAGGCTAGTACTACTAGCCTAGGGCTAGGCTACCTACCTAGTGCTTTTGAGTTGATTGATGTGTTTTTTTTTTTTGTTGAGAGAACAAAGTCTAAACTATATAGTAATGTATGTATTGCAGATTACTACCAAGTAAACAATACCCTTACATATAGTTAACAAACTGGTCAAATATTGGGGAAAATATACCAATAACTTACGAATTTCGTTTACTAACTACTTCTCTTCCAACCAACAAGATGAAAACCAAGCGAGAAAGAGACTTTTGTAAGGCATCAGTTGCCAGGATGACTATTTTCTAATAATAAAAATAATCATTATTTGACTACAAAGGGCATTAAATACGTACATGAACTACTTTAGGTTAATTCTCTTTCTCAAATCTTCTACAAGACAAATAAGTACCAAGTACAAAAGAAGTAAAATTAAATAGTACCAAGTATCACCGAAATATTGATCTCTGGCAATACTATTTTAATCAACAGTGACAATAGAGGGGGCTTCAAGCTGTGTGATCAAGCTGATCACACAGAACCACAAATTGGTGATGGCACTCAGCAATCAACCAAACATACAATTTGACTCAGATTATTGCTCAGTGGCAGATAAAGGGGCCAGCAGCCCCCCACCCCACCTCCCTGAAATTTACAACGATTCTAAAAAAAAAAAAGGGAAAAAAGGGATAAAAAAAAGAAATCATATTTAGAAGTCCAGACGATGTAGACTGTCTCTTATACACATCTAAACTGATATAAATTTACATACAAAGGCCCTGGGTGTGAAATAATTGGGTTATTATTAGTATGTTTTGTGTAGATTTTACCTTCCATCGAGGCCACGGCAAGCATCTCTGGCATCATGGGGGTTCTCAAACTCAACAAAGGCAAAGCCTGGTGGATTTCTGGCTACCCACACATTCCTTAAAGGCCCATAGAAACTAAATGAACGTTCTAACTCATGTTTCGCTGCCCCTGATCCCAACTCTCCTACATACACTTTGCAATCCAACGTTCCTAAGTCTCTATGGTGGGAGTAGCTCATCCTCATTGCTGAAAAAAAAAAGCACAAAGCATTACTATTTAACAAAATTAAATATTACTTAATGATTAATCATACTAGGCTAGGCAGCCTAGCTATTGTAGGCTGGAAAATTAATGAGGTAAAAGGCTTTTCATTTTTCTAAAGCCAAATATCACTTGTGGCCTGACTAGCCTAGGCCGGCCTAGCCCTAAAAGGCTGAGTGAGCGGGGAATTATCCGCACAAACATTTGGCCTAGAAAAAAGAAACCTGTCCGCGCATTTCGGATGATAATAAGGGCCGATTTCCACGCAGATTTTTCTAAAAATTAGGCTTTGACCAAATCTTAATATAAAAGCCTACTAGATATGCTAGAAACAGGCAATGGAAATAAACATGCTATTGGTTTTCTTGGGCTATCTTGGAAATGTATGTTAATATGTTGTCCAATACTTTTTTCAGTCATTTGTGTCTTTTATAATCTTTTGTTACTCTATGTAGGGCCTAATTTCTTATCTTTGGCCCGAATAATTGAATGAATAGGGCCTACATATGATAGAGTTAATCTTCTGATTTCTCAGTCTGGAACCAAAAATAAATAAATAGCTGTTTAAAACCATGAAAAACATTAATATGATTTGATAAAATAAGCGTATTAACTATTATATTTTTTAACCGTAAATCATCGATGTCAACATATTAAAATGTTAAGATTTTAAAGTCTCGTATGGCGCACTGAACTAATTACGCATGCGTGTATGAATATGTAAGATATGAAATGCTTGAACGCGCCTTTAAAAAATAACATGAGTTTTTGTATCGACGGCACGACAGGGACGGCGGCGGAGTAGACAGACTTACCGCAACCGTAACAACTCACAACAGTGCGTGTGTCGAATGGCAAATGTACAAGCGAGCTGAATGGATGGGTGGTAGGTAGGCCTAGGTTAGCGCAATGGAAGATAGTAACATCGTTGAGGAGTGGCTCCGATCTTTAGACCTTTCTCAATATTTAGAGGCGTTTATTGATAATGGCTACGATGATTTGGAGACATGCAAGCAAATCGGAGAGCCTGATTTGGACGCGATAGGAGTAGATGCCACTCCACACCGGGTTGATATACTTGAGGCTGTCAATCGACTGAGAACGGAAGGAGGAGCCCCGGTTTATTTCACTTTAGAACCGAATCCACCGTCTAAAGATGATGCCGATGGGAATATTGTTTCGGAAACCTTTTTCGGAGATGTCGGAGGAGGAAAATATTACGGGCAGGTAGATGAGGATGTGTTTACTAACAGCGAACGAGCTTGTAGCCACAGTGAAACATTTGTACACTACCCAAAAAATCAGTTGAAATTAATGATAAGTCAGAGTCTCCATGAACGAAACATCAATTTAAGTCAGCAACCTTTCTCCAACCAGGTAAGTACCTAAATAATCTATTTAGCACATGTTTAATTATCATACCATGATTGGCCCTTTCTTTAAGTTTATCCATGGATATTAATAAATTACAAAATACATCAAAAATTAGCTGAACACTTGAGTGGAAATTGGCTGTGAAAATCACAATGCTGTAGCCAGCTATTGGGACAGTTGGGGCAGTCCCTCACAATTTTTCTCTTGCCACAAAGAAAGGGTCTACATTTTAAAAATGGATCCAGATTTCTCATATTTTATGTAAAATGGATTAACTTTTAAGAAAATGGGTCCATATTTCTCCTATTTTGCGTAAAATGGATCAATTTTAAAGAAAAATGGGTCCTGATTATCCACATTTTTGCGTAAAAATTCGACAACTTTTAAGAAAATGGGTCCACATCATTTGAATTTACATGTAAAGTGGTCCACCCTGATACTGCCCCTCACAGTTTGAAAATCCTGGCTACGGCATTGGGTGTGCATAATTATTAAATTTAACTAACTGTACATTGACGAGGTTCCGTTGCCTCACTGGTTAACCACCTCCATTCACATCTTTTATTTGTTTTTGTTATTTCTTCTACTACTATATTGAGAGAGATAGGCCAAATTATATTTTAGATTTGGTTCTTCTGTTTTGAATTTGTTTATCTTATGTCTTCAAATGGACCTTTTCAGAGTGTCAATCAAACTTAACAATTGACCAATCAGAACAGGGCTAGGAATACATACGTCACATAAACATAAATTAATGGTCGTTATAGTTTATAGTCCATTTTACCTTTCTTCTACAACAAATATTGCTGTCACACACATCATGAATACAAAGACATGAAACAATGCTGAATGTACTGTATGTACAGTATGGGTGTATCACTTGTGACTTACTGTACACATATATCACTTGCAAAAAAACTTGGATTACTGCATGATTTTCTCATTAAAGTAAAAAAAAAGACAAGAAACTTTGACACTATTTTTATGGCCCAGGTATCCAGGGGATAAATTTAGTTGAGACATACAGATTAAATCCACAATAGTATATATGGAAGTAATTCGAAGCCAGCTGTGTACATCTGTTGTCCATTTTTTATTGTTTAATTTATTACATGCCTATTGTTCCATCATCATCATGAATCCATTTTATGAGAATCAATGTTTAAACTTTGAACTAGCTTTGAATTTAGTATGCAGGGTGGCTATTTAGAATTCTACAGCATGTCAAAGCTTTGCTGCCAGAATTAATTCCCTTACCCCCATCAGCAACACAAACCTAATGACTAATTGACTTACATTGGAAAAAGGAATTAATTATAAAACTACTTTTTCTTGTTTTCAAGTCATTCTCAATTAAACAAACCATCATATTTTACTCTAAATATTATTATTCACCTGTTTACTTGAGTTTTTCTGTGGTTATCATTTTCATGACCTTTTCAATTTCATCAGCATATATTTTCTATTATAAAGCACTGTGAGTGCGTTCACAATTTTCAACGTGTTCACAAGTGTACAAATGAAACAGTATACTAGGGGGAAGGGGTGGACAAATTTGTACACTTACACATGTGCATGAAAATGTTTATTCAAAATACATGCAATATTCAAAATACTGTAATAGATTTTTTTTTATAACCAATTATAATGCAACCATGGATATAGACATTTTATGCAACCAAGTAAGTACTTTAGTTAATAGTATCACACAAAAATGGATAGCAGTTTTGAAAAATCAACATTTTTTATGTACACGAAAAAGAGTAGGGCCTACAGTACTGTTTGTACACTTACGAAAATGTTGATACTGTAATTGTGAACAAAAGTAGATCAACAGTTCAGTTGTATTATCTTGCTTACTTTTCACACAACAATGTGCAACTTGGCTCTTTAATAACAGCATTATGCTTTAAGATGACCTACCATATTCAACACTGCAATTCAAACCACATTCTAAGTATTAATGAATAAGAAATATTTTTTGTTAGTGGCATTTCAAAATACCAATTATGCTGCACATCATGTTAAAACAATCTTAAAACAGATGGTACAGTATGTACTGTACCCAGTATTTATTTCGTGGCTAACCTCAATTTGGAAATGGCCCATCCACATCACTGATATCATACAATCGTGTAACCCGAATTTGGAGTTTCCCAAACTGTAGCGTAAAGCAGGCTGTGTTTTTCTCATGTTTTGATCTGACGTTCGCTACAGAGGATAATTAAAGCCCCATTCCCAGCAAGATTTCAGTTGTTTAGTGAAATTTTGCCGAATGGGGCTTTAAACTTGCCTCTGTTCAGTCTGCAATTTTATTTTTAACTATACTGTATGTAGGCCTCAGTAGGCATATAGTAATTCAAGGGCTAATGCTCCATCACTTAACACTCTTACATTTTGGTTGGTATGGTTTACTGAAATAAATCAATTTGTTATTAAATCAAGTTTATTACATAAAAAAGCTTTAAAAGTGGCCTCTCCATGATATACTTTAATGCTTTAACAAATGTTTTAAAAGCTCAGTTGTTTTGCAGGGTTTTGGAGACAGATTTTAAAAAAAACATGTCTCAAATTCTGCACTTTATTTTAAAATTGTTTAATCATACTGTAATCAACCCAATTTATTGACAGGGTAATTCCAACAGCACACATTGTTATTAAATATGGCATGGGTATCGACCGCAGAATTATTTCTTTATGATAATCTTGTTTATTATCACAACAATCCAATGAGTGCATGGTGTGGTGAAGCAAAAACAGGAATAATAGGACCACGGAAATGGAAAGAACAAAAGTAATAACCAGAATGTGTACTTATTAAAACAGTTAACAACCAATATGATTATGATTGTGCTTTAGTATGACTCTAGCTACTTAATGAATGCTACAGTGGTAACCTTGTAGATATTTTGTCACTTTTTGTATTTAATAAAAAGATTAGAATGCTGAAATGAATGAACAATGAGGTATGTTTGTATGTTTTCTTGTTAAATTTCTGAGTATTGTTCTCTAAGAAGGTCAAGCTAACAAATACTGGGTTGTCTTTTAAGCACTGTACTGTGAAATGATGTAGGTGTATCAAATTGTGTGTTTTAAAATGCACACATTCACAGAATTATTTAATTTGCATTCTTTTTATAACTTACATTTACAAATTCATTCCATTCCTCATGATGTAAATATTATGCTGGAGACTGAGAGTCGCAAATGTAGAAACATCCAATGTACAGTATCGCTAGATGCAGCAAAAAATGTGCTACTTAGTATGTACTCAGTTCTTTAAATGGAAGACATCTGAGGACTTTCTAACTAATAATAATAATAGTGAAATATTTAACTAAACATTGATGTTTAAAAATCCTTAATATCTGTCGTGTGTAAGTGCTCAAGTATCCTCAGCTCACCGTATAAATTAATCCACAAAAGAACAGTTGGTACTGTACATAAACAGTGTATTGGTTACACACTGTGCGGTGCATATTGTGTTTACCTAATTTCTCATTCACTAATTTCAATAATGTAATGACAATGTAGACATTCCACTGTTCAAGGCATAAATGGAGATTGAAGGGGAATACTGTACTTTTGGTTTTTCCAGTTTAGAGGATCATTATTGTATTGCTTATGTACAACCAGGTAAATCTTGGTAAACCATACTTGAATAGGTCTAAATAAGTTTATTATTATTCAACTAAAAAGTAGAATGAGAAAACAAGTTCCTTGCCAAGTCTAAAGCAGTTGACTTTTTTTCTGGTTATTTTGCAGTTTGTCCACATGTTATTGATACTACCTAGACCTTTGAGGGAAAGTCGCACACGCAGTTTTCCAATAAATGCCCAAACGTGAAATCGGTCATTTTTTAAAATTTTTTTAAATCTCAAAAACATACAAATTAAACATTTAACTTTCATCCTACATTTACCTCTCTGATTTATAATCAATAAATGCTTTAACAATGGTATTTAAGAGAACTTGTCCTAACGTACAGACATAAAATCCTGAAATTTCTAGCGTCACGATCTCACAGAATAGCCATTTTTCGCAGCGTTTTCTATATCCGAAATATGGCGTCAAGCCAAGTATGCTGGGTAGTTTAAGGAAATTTAGTACGGTAATCTTTCATTTCATTGGTTTATTTTAGTGTTAAAAATTCAAGTTAACCAATAGACGACGATATTTCTCTTTGCGCATCCTTTAATTTCTGCCAGCAAATTAATTTTTGTGCAGTAGCAAAACTCATACATCTTTAAAGTTAGTCTGAGAGTGCCGTCTCTTGATTACTTCTTTTAGTAAAACTCTTGTAATTGGAAATGATTTATGTAATCTTTTTTTGCATTTTTTTTCTCAATCTCCAACCATCTCAACCTTAACAAATTGTGACCTACTTATTTCGTATTATTAATATTTTATAAATTGTCCATGTCCTTAATTATCTCAGGATGGTAGAAAAAGCAAGACATTGCAAGACCATTAACTCATATCATCTGTCCAAGGCCATGGGGTTATGTTTGTTGACAGAATGAATGGTGTTTTCTTGAGGACAAGATAACCTTCCACTTGGTGTCAAGCTACACTACCATCCACCAGTTTCAGACTTAATCTTGTGAGCACCCAAGTGGAAAAGCTAGTGGTAGCGTCCTTATAGTTTAGGTTAATGAGCACTTTGGCTCATTTTGCGCCAGGTCTCTGTACCAGCTAAATTGGATAGATGTTACTCATTTTGGACACATGTTTTACATTCAATGAATAATGGTTTTGGAAATTAATGGAAACCCAATGTTTTTGTCAAGGTACTCTGTGATTTTTATTTTCTAATTAAAAAGTTAGGCTAATTATTTTTGTGTATTTTTCTTATCACTATTAAAAACAGACGTTAAAATATAAAGATATAATGTAGGCCTAGATACATAGAATAGAATAAAGTTTGATTATCAATAATAATAACAATGTGAATTGCTCATTGAACTCAATATTGACAATGAAAGTGATAAATATGTTTACTTATTAAAGCTATTAGGTATACAATTAATTAGACTTAAGGGATGTTTTATTTTAATATTATCTTTATTGATTTAAAAATTTGAATGACAGATTGATTGTTTAAAATTGTCAATATAAAAATGGAAAAGAAAATAGTCCATAGCACAAATGCCAAATGATCATCAAAAATAAGGTTTGCTTTGAAGTTCTTGTTTATACTGTAAGTTTTCTGAGTCAGTATATATCTCACTGATTTTTGTCCAGTTCTGTGCTTTAGTTTTCATTGATGAATTAAATATTATTGCGGTAGTTGCAACTTGGAGAGCTGTAGAAGTGACCATTATGCTAATGACTGCTGTCAACCACCATTTAGTATCTACTCAACATTGAGTCATTGCTTTGTGGTTTTTCTTTACATCACTTATTACACAATTGATTGAACCACAAGATGCTGTTTAAAATACAAGATAGTACTACTAATAGAAAGATATGCTGTAGCCTGTACTGTATTTCATTTGTGATATGTAGGTTGCAAATACACAGGGTTTTAACTTTTTTTTTGTGGGAAGTAGGTGCTTCTTGGTTAATTTACTGTATATTTTCTTAAATTTAATTTTCAAATGAAAATTGAAAACATACCTAACTAAGAAATACAGAATTAATTGTTGTTCAATTGAGACAACCAAGACAGTAGGCCTACAACATTTACTTGCTTACATAGGACATACCTGGAGACTGTTGAGAATATAAACATACAGTGGTTTGATGATGTTGTACGTGATGGACCAAAGGTTAGAGAGAGAGAAAAAAAATATAGTACTGTAGAGATAATATGAAGACCATAGGAAGCATGCTCATGTTACAAGGTTGTTTTCCATTTGAATAGAGTAGATACACAATCCAGTAACTATAATGTTTTTATTGGATGATACTGTATGTTTTCAGGGATTTTTCAAATAGTATCCTATAACATTTTCACATTGAGTAAAATACAATAGTAATCATGAAGGTTTACACTGTTGACAACTGCACACATTTTTTGTAGTAAGGCATCTATTGAAAAATCATTTTAAAGAAACATTTTATTTAGACACCTGAAAATTGATTACTGCATCTTCTGCTTTGAGTAGTATTTGAACCAAAATAATATTTTGTTCTGCATTATTTTCCCAAAAACATATTTATAGCACCATGGTTAGTCTGTGATGAAGGAATTGACTCATTTTGGATATTAAGATAGTTCACCTCAATACTGAATTCATCAGTAGCATTGTGAAATGGGGAGCTTCATGATTAGATGTGGGGGCGCTACAGTAGCTCACAAAATATGCATAAAAATGGGTCGGAGCGCCAAAGTGAATTTTTTTCTTAAACACAGAGGGCCGCACCCAAACTTTAATGTTTCCGGTGAGCTTCCAAATAACCTCCAAGCACTGCTTTTACATCACTTTATTCTCAGTTTTAATATTACTTTTTACATATGATTGGTGTCGGGCCGTATAAAAACAAGGTGTTTTCTAGCCAATTTGGATTGGCGGACTACAAACATAAGGTTTTTAATTCGTCGAAGTGGGCCGCAAAAAAATCACTGACGGGCCGCAAGCCGCACTTTTCCCCCCTGTGCTCTAGATAAACCTGGGGTTTTTTTTTCTGATGGTTGCTGTCTCATCAAAATTACTATTAACTGTAAAGAAATACAGTAGTATTGTTCTAATGAGAATTTGCAGCCTGGCAGGAGTTTTCTCAAAGGAAGGAACAAGCAAAGCCACAATATTAATGTACTATACAAAAAATACAGTGGGCTATATTTGTATACAAACTGTTTCTTGTTTCTTAAGCTGTTAAGTGTGGTCAAGTCATTGGTATCACTTTCACTCCAACACCTGGTTTCTGTTAATTTCTTGACTAGGTACTTTGTATGTTGACATCTTGGATCAAGATGTTTATTTTTGTTCCCAGAACAAATTTGTGGTATACTTCTGTGGGGTGCATGTCCCATGAGGAACTGAAGGTCACCACTGCTATCAAAGTCATCATATTGCACATCTCCAGGCTCCAATCAGCCATCAAATTTTATCAGAAATATAAATCTCAATCCAGAGGTGTTTATATTCTCTTACCATTGGTAGTTATTACAACCTGGGCCTCATAAAAACATTGTTAAGATTATCATACCTAACTGCATCGTTTTTGGGGAAAATCCCAAATTCTTCTTGTGATTGCTAGACCTGGGGATTTTTTTAAAATTTGTTTTAAACTCAATTTTGTTACTGCAATATTTTTAATTAAATGTAAATAAATAAGTTAATATAAAACTAGAGCAAAGGTTGCAAAATAGCATTAATGATGCATTGCTTCTACAGTTTTTATCGCATTCATGTAATTATCCAACTGTCAAAATAAAACAGAACTTGACTGCTCAACAAGCCTACAGTGAACATTACTACTGATTTGTGTAATTAAATTTAGCCATTCAAACAATGATCATTATTATCATTGCCAATATCTTCATTGCCGTCATTGTCAACATTGTCACTTGTCATCACTTATCTGCATTGTCATCATTATCATCATCATCGTCTTCATCTTCATCCATTATCATCATCATCATCTTCATCATCCATCATCATCATCACCACCAGGCAATTAAAGCTGCCCTATATTCACATTAAATAAATCATTATCATCATCATCATAATCATCATCATTATCATCATCATCATCATCATCTTTATCATCATCATCGTCATCATTATCATCTTCATAATTGTCATCACATTCACTTATTTATGTAGTAAATAACTTTCATTTATCATTTACAAAGTAATAATGTTGTAACAATACTAAGTAATCAGTAGCCAATTTGGTGCAAAGATTTGTCTTTGTCAAGTGAAAATATGGTCACAAGTTATGAGTCATCTAACAGATTACGATGAGAGCAAGGCAATTAAAGCTGCCCTATATTCACATTAAAACAATTCCTTGCTAAAAAAAAAACACATTCAAATCAGAATATGAAATTGCTTATTTAAGATAAAAGAAGTTACATCTACAGAAGGCCTACATTATATAATGAGACAGAAACTATTCTTTTTAATATAAAAATCCTAAAACTGACGACAAATCTATTTAATTTAGGATCTATGAAATAAAGAATAGAATTTATAATGCGTTTAATTTTCAAATAAAATATCTTCTCATTATCAAATGTAAGCTAATAATTTAAAAATATACAAATTAATCAATTTTAATATAAATTTTAACTTTACCCAGACAGTATTGTGCTTATTGTTTTGGTGTAAATTTGAATTTTTTTTTTGAGGGTTAAAGAATGCTTCATCTGGAGTGTACTGGAGTAGGCAACACCCACGGTCCTCCTTTGATAGCAAGATTGTATTACAGATAGAACAATAGGCCTAGATATGAATATGAAATGTTTTGTACATAATTGACTGATTTATGAAGGATAAACAACATATAAAATATATCCCTAGTCACATGAATACAGTCCAACACTTTTTAGCAAGCATGGCCGGAATATTAGAGTTCACTGTCATCATTCAAACAAGTGCAACAGCCACTTTAATGGAGTGTCAGACCGAATCTTGATTTTCATTTTAAGGAGTTTTGTTCTTTCATTTGCTGTATCCAAAAAGAATGGTCAATTTGTGGCTCACTTAAAACCATCACGTGAAAGCAGGAGATTGTGTAGTTCTTGAATGAAGCGTGATACTTATTAACTACTTTACCAAATCTTGGTTTACATTTTAAGGAGGTTTGTTTTTTAATTAGACTCGAAGGATTCTTAGTTTTGCCTCAAAGAATTAAGTTTGTTGTCTGATGTTCAGCTTAGATGATTTTGTTTGATCGAATCTCATTAGGGACAGTTCCATTGTAATTATATCATACTACATTTTGCTTGTCGTTCTGACAATCCAAGCAAAACTGAGACATTAATATAGTGTGCTTAGACGAAAAAGTTATACTGTAATACATACTGTTGGTCAATTATAATTCTGTCCTACTTTTTGGAATTTACTGTACTAAATGGATACAAATGTCTTCAGGGGAAGATTTTGGAAATGGCGGAAGGATAGCAAACAAGGGGCACCCCAGTTTATAGGCCTACTATTATTAAGGGTAATATTTGAACACACATTCTGCTGGTGTAAATGGCTGTAGCTCAAGATTTGGACTTCTTTGTAAATGGAAATGTATCCAGTATCAATCTGGAATCAGGGTTATTCTCACCTTGGCAGTGTAAAATGATATTAGTTGGGTACCAATGTTCTTAAATAATACTAGCAAAAAAGTAATGCCATTTCCCTCCAGGGAGTTGTATGCTCCATAAGTTTTTGTGATGCTCATAGAGTATGTTAATATCTCTACAAATTATTTGTTAATGATAAAAAATATCCTGACAAAATATCTTCAGAGTGTAAACCTGACTTCAGTAAGATGTACGTTAAGGTAATTTAACAGAATATTATCAATCAGAGGCCTATAGTTTTAAGTAGATGCTAAATAAAAACAATTCGATTTAAGGAAAGAAA